CTTACAGGAAATGGACATTATGGTATGTAAACCATACCACAATACACCTGTTACATACACAGTTGGCATGTCATAAGCACCGAAGAGTTAGAATAGACACAGGCATTAACCCTAGCGCTAGACATGAGCTCCTTCATTTATTGGGTGGTGGGAAGGTCTCAGGAATCTGGGAACAGGGGTGGCCAAGAGGACTGGGGGACAATCAGGGGTTCAGGGCAGTGTCTATTTATAAACTTGGATGGAAGTACTTCAGTATCGTAACAACAAACACTGAGTGTTTTGACAAGCAATATGGCAGAGTATGGAAATTGGAAGGACAGGCCAGAGGCAGGAGAAGCATTTGAATATGGTGGCTAAGGAAGCCTCTTCTGAGATGGTGACCTTTGAACAAAACAACTGTGTGAGGTGCAGGAGGAAACCACATGAGATCTAGAAAGAGAGAAAACCAAGAAGAGGGAAAAGCTAGTATAAGGCCCTGAGGCAAAAATGAGCCAGGCTCAAGAATGAGCAAGGAGGGCAGGAAAGTTAGGTTGAAGAGAGTGCATAGAGTGCCAAATATGTATGTTGTGTAACCTTGGGGAGGCCCTGTCCCTGCTCCAATCACACAGCAGCTGAAAATATGGGTAGGAACGGAAATAAAGTCCACAGCACCCATGAACTCGATCCTTGGCATGCCCTTCCTGTGGCCCTGATGGGGCCTGTGGCTTTTGCTCTACTATGGATCAGAGTGGATGAGGGGCACATAGAGCCCTCGAGAAGTTCTGAAAGAAGGGAGCTTTTCCTGAGTGACATATGGCAGTGTGATTCCTAGGGAGTCACTGTGCAAACGAGGATTTCCCACCACTGCAGGGGACTCTTGATTCTCCATCTTCCCTGAGATGGGTTTTGTGAACTGCACTGCTATACCACTTCTATAAAGCTTTCAAACACTGGAAGATGGTATGAAGGAATCAAACCGCATCACGGGCTTGGTGAAAGGAACAAATATTTCACATTAGATAAAGACGGTTGAGAATGGAGTTCCAGAGTAACTACTGAAAATGAAAAGTGAGAAAACAATAGAGAAGAGGGTAAATTAGAAAGAGGAACAGGGAATGTTAGGAAGGTTGAAGTAAACTTTACACCCTGAAGTTGGTGAGTTATACCCGTATCTGGACAGCCTTATTCAACAAAGAAGCTAGGACTGCCTATAGAGATAAGAAAAAAATAAAATAGAGTCTCAATTAATTCAAGACAACCTAACTACCTTAGCCTTTGATACTGGATTAAGTGATCATATAATTGTGGCAGAAGACATGGAGGTGGTGGCCTGAAGCCAAGCTAAATTGGCATTTTTAAGTGTATTTACCTATTTGGAGACAGAAAAAGAATGCACAATTGGGGGGGGGGGGAGAGAGAGAGAGAGACAGAGACAGAGAGAGAGAATCCCAAGCAGGCTCTGCACTGTCAGCACAGAGCCCAATGTGGGGCTCAAATCCACAACCCTTAGTTCATGATCTGAGCCAAAATCAAGGCCCAAGAGTTGGATGCTTAACCAACTGAGCTACCCAGGTGTCCCTAAATTGGCATATTTTTAAAAGCAAAATGGCAGCTCTGAGCCTGCCACAGAATTAAGAGGAGAGATGGAAGCCCTGCTTTTGGAGAGCTGGCCTGCAGCTGGAAAACATGGTTAGTTCTTTCTCTGCTGTTTCTGTGCTCTAATTTACTATAAAATCATGAATCTTTCTCTTTTTCATGGGTTGGTAGAGCAGACAGTAGAAAACAAAGTTAGATAACCTCAGTCCATGGCATTCCCAACCCATAGTTTCCCTTTCCAGAATGTATCCTTGGTTTCCCACCAAAATAAATCATGGAGAGGAGGAGACCATGCTTATTTACTAACAAACAGTTAACCAAGGAAGCAGAAAGACAGTTTCTTCTGTGAAGGGAAAGCATAGCATTGCCATTTCAGGTAACCAGGTGAGAAGCAGACATTGTGATAGTTAAGCTTCCTGTAGAGAGAAATAAATTGGGAAAAGATCAAAAAGGATTTTCAACTATAAAGAGTCATCTTTTCAAAGTTCTTCTTAGAGGAGTCTCAAATGTTAGAAGCCCATTCTCCTAAAAGAAGTTCAACTCTGGACACAATGGCTCTCCCCAAATTCCCTTTATAAGAAAATTGATGATTTGGGTGTGATAGTCATTCCAATAAAGTCCCGAGATTTCTTTCTTTCTTTTTTTTTTTTAAGTGTTTATTTCTTGGAGAAAGTGTGAGCAGGAAGGGGGAGAGAAAGGGGGATGGAAGGTCTGATGCAGGCTCTGCACTGACAGCATTGAGCCAGATGCAGGCCTCAAACTCACAAACTGTGAGATCATGACCTGAGCTGAAGTCAGATGCTCAACTGACTGAGCCACCAAGGTGCCCCAAAGGCCCAAGATTTCTTGATAAAAAAAAATCTTTTCCAACAGAGCAGAAGATGTTCTAGAATTGTTAAAACAACTTGATAGTTTGTATCCATTTCTATGTTCAAAACCCGCATGGAAAGAATTCAGTGCCATGAACGGCACCATTGAAGTAAGTAAAAGGTCATTTGCAACTACGTGGACGGAACTAGAGTGTGTCATGCTAAGTGAAATTAGTCAGTTAGAGAAAGACAAATATCATACGACTTCACTCATGTGAGGACTTTAAGACAAATAACAAATAAACATAAGGGAAGGAAAGCAAAAATAATATAAAAACAGGGAGGGAGACAAAACGTAAGAGACTCTTAAATATGGAGAACACACAGAGGGTTGCTGGAGGGGTTGTGGGAGGGGGGATGGGCTACATGGGTGAGGGGCTTAAAAAATCTACTCCTGAAATCATTGTTGCACCATCTGCTAACTAGCTTGGATGTAGATTGAAAAAGAAAGAGTGAAATCGGTAAAAAATAAACTATGTGATATTAAATATATATACCTCATATTTGTTTGGAAGCAAGAACTGTAGTTTCTTTAATTAAATGTATGAATATAATATCTAAAAATCAACCATACACTGTATAACCAGATATTATTTATGAATGCCAGAATTTTGTTGAAACCAGCTGGTAATGCTGTAGCAACCGGTGCCACTGTGATACTGAATGTGCGGATAGTGGAGCGGGGGCCAGTGGGGAAGGGTGGGAGGCTGGGGGAAATGCGATAAGTGACAGAATGACATCAAAGGAGAGGGTCACAGGAGCGCCTGGGTGGCTCAGTCAGTTAAGTGTGGACTCCTGATTTCCACTCGCGCCACGATTTCACGGCTCCTGAGACGGACCCCCACACTGGGCTCCTCGCCGGACATGGAGACTGTCCGCGATTCTCTCTCTCCCTTTCCCTCCGCCCCTCCCCTGCGCGTGCGCACACTCACTTTCTCTCTCAAAAGAAATAAGTAAACATGAAACGAATAGTTTTTTAAAAAAGGAGAGGGTCGTAGATGGGATGGCAAAATGAGCAAAGGGGAAGGACAGGAAAATTGAAAGGGAAGAGGGTCGTCTTAGTAAATTTTTTTACTTTCCTGAAAGAAAAGGGGGGGAGCAGAGGTTACGTTAAAAAAAACACACCAAAATTTGCTAAAATGGGAACAACACAGATACTGAAACACTGAACAAGAAGCTGTGGACAGAGACCAGGAAATCTCTGCGCAGCTGCCCCTTATCTCTGCCGTGTGCACAGGCAGCACCTCCCTGGCCAGCACCCGCATCTGCTGCAAGTGGACCGGGTGCTCCTCTCGGGACAAGCTGTAGCAAAAAGGACTTTAAACGTTCACGTACAATCAGTTCATTGTGTGTTATCAGAGCTTAGTCTCCCCCAAGCTGTCTTGAGTCAGGCAGGAATTTCTCCCACGGACTCCGAGTAGGCCCGGGTCTCACAAATTGCTGACAAACGGAGGTCGTAGGGAAGAACTTTAAGGAGAGATGAAACGATGCCAGGCACAGATCCTCTCCCGTAGGAACAGCTCTGCTGGCCTGGCATCCTATACGGCGGTCTCCTCAAACTTTAAGGGGCCCGGGAGTCACCTTGGGAATCTTATTTAAATGCAGGTGCTGGTTCACAAGGACGGAACAGAAACTCTGCGCGGGAATCAGCTCCTCGTGATGCCAGCGCTGCTGGTCTGCAGACCATATTGGGAGACACAAGTTCTAGGGCACCCTGGTGACCCCTGAGTGAGTCAGGGTGTGTGTGTGTGTGTGTGTGTGTGTGTGCGCGTGCGCGTGAGAGAGAGAGAGAGAATCCAGAAGCACATTCTACAGGTACATAGAGAAGACAGGGGAAAACACATGTTCTTTGTTCATTTATTACTGCACTTGTTCGATTCCCAAGGATTCAGAGCTACAGTAGTTTCCCTTTAGCACTTTCAGGCAGATGGGATTCTCTCATCAACCGGGACACAAAGCAATACCAGCAAACCCAGTGAAGGAAGTGTCACTCAAAGATTCTGGGAGTTCTACCACGCCCGTTAGCCGGGCACCGGGCTGGCCTCTACAACTTTTCCTATCTTCTCACCCAACTCTTCCTCCTCAGAGAAAATAGTCATGGGCATGTTGAAGGCTTGGGTAATTGAGGCAGAAATATTGAGAAGATACTAAAAACCAGACTTCAGGATCAAATCTACTGGCCTGACTCACATTTCTTTACCCACTGTACAGGTGTTCCTGATACAGAAGCTTCCTTGGAGTCGTGTGTGTGTGTGTGTGTGTGTGTGTGTGTGTGTGTGTGACAGAAGATGTGGGTAACTTGCACCCTCTTCTACAAAGCTGATAGCACCCAGAAGAAACTATGGTTGACCTCATGGAAAAAGTTAGACTTAATACCCCAATCCCAGCTGGCATGACTTCATCCTTATTCCCTTTGCCAGAAACTGCTTGTTGCGTGAGGCAGTGTGGGTGTCCTCAGAGGTAGCTACCTAAGTTTGCATACTTCCTGGCTGACAGAACACTCCTGCCCGTGCCTCAGGGCCAGGGTGGTGAGTGTCAGTGGGAGGAGTAACCAAGTTTCACTTCCTTGCTGGTTGGAGACTCGACCACAGCAGGCTTCTCCCTCAGAGGAGGAGACCGTGAGGAGCAGTTGGAACCCATCTCTCTCTGCCTCTTCCCGTAGCACCTGGCAGGCGCTCAGGAGACGTGAGGAGCGCGAATGGGCAGAGCAGAATCTCTAGAAGGGAAGATGAGCGCCCAGGATCCTTCAGATCTGTGGAGCAGATCAGACGGAGAAGCTGAGCTGCTCCAGGACTTGGGGTAAGAAAGCAGATCTTCTTCTCAAAGTACTTCTTGGGTGAGCATGGACTCCCGACTCTCACCCCAAATACTCACTTTGATTACCTTTAGCACGCTGCCACCTCCGTCTTCTATCCTTTCCACTTCACCCAGTTGCGTCTCTTAGGAAACCTTCTGCCTGGGGCCAATTGCATTTTGAAAGCATACCATCTTTTCCCAGATGTGAAACGAGGCATGGGGAGACAATGAGACAAAAATCAAAGGTCGGGCATTCTTTGAGACTAGGGACAGGATTGAGATGCAGGAGTTGGTGTTGCTTGGCTTCCTAGATATGGACCCGCTTTATGAATGAAAGCGCTGTTCAAACGTTTTGAGCTCTAAGCTGTATTGCTAGGAAGATAAACAGAAAGGTCAGCCTACTGCACGAGAGAGGGACTTTTTCAAAAGAGGAAGAATGAGGAAGTGTCTGCAATGTCTCCTCTGTGTTTGTCGCTCCTGACACTGCATCTGTGAGTCCTTGTATGTCTGCGGGCGCAGCGTTGAGCCTTTTACATACAAAGAAGTCAGGGAGAGGATAATACTTCTGCCTCAAACAGGTTGTAAGTTTAAGGAGGTGGAGTCATCATCGTCCTGTCTTTCAGGAGGGACCAGATGAGCCAACTCATGGGGATATTTGATAAAAGAAGCATTACGCAAGAGAGATGTAGGGGGTTTCCTGAAAAAACTGGACCTTTACCCTAAAGCATCAGAAATATCCTAAAGAGGCTGATTTTGACACTCATGCTTCACAAGAGGTGAGACCAGCACCTCTGTCTTAATAAACAGCACCATCTGCACAGCAGCCCACTGCCATAGAAACTGCTATCATCTCCATCTTACGAAGGAAGGAAAGTGGTACCAAACCACTTTGTAGTGCCTACATCAACCGTTGGCAAAGTTGGGATTTCAAACTGCAAAAGCCTATGTTCTTAACCAGAGAAAAACTGAAACAGAGATGAAATCTCTCTGCCTTAAGGCTGCACAGGTTGTATCTTTTTGAGTGGTGTTACTGTAAAAGTTCTCAAGAAGTCCTGTCTTGAGGTTTTAAAATGGAGGTCTCCTCCTTGAACTCTACCTTCCCAAGATAAATAAGATAGAACAGCTAGACTTTTTTATAAAGTAAACTCCCCCCACTGGGAATTCAGTGTTCCAGGATGTCACTATTCTTCTAGGTTGAATCTCCAAAGGGAAAGGGTACAGGGCGCCTGGGTGCCTCAGTCGGTTGGGCGGCCTGGGCGGCCGACTTCGGCTCAGGTCATGATCTCATGGTTCATGGGTTCGAGCCCCGTGTCAGGCTCTGTGCTGACAGCTAGCTCAGAGACTGGAGCCTGTTTCAGATTCTGTGTCTCCCTCTCTCTCTGACCCTCTGCCCACGCTGTCTCTCTCTCTCAAAAATAAATTAGAAAAAAAAAAAAAAAACGTTACAAAAGAGAAAGGGTAAAATGCCCCTGAGTATTCAAATGGGTGTCACAAAGTCCAGGCACCTCACTTATGGCCTTATTAAATTATTAAAGTATAATTCTTTACAAGCTTCATTATCAATATTCCCAGCCCATTATCTATAGGAAGCTCTAAAAAAGAAGAGAGACAAAGGAGATACTCGATTCAGTTAAACAATCCAGAGCCCACATTCTGTGCCTGAATGACATCACCTCCCTGGATGACAGAGATGAGCTAGGCCATGTCTCTTCTCTTCACCATTTGCCCATAGCAGGAAGTGACTGTGGGTAAAACCCCAAGGAAAACAGAATCGTGCCTTCCCTCCTTGTTCAAAGAATGGATGCTCAACACACCCCAGAAACACCCAAAACAGATACGTTTATGTCCAGACTTCTGTATTCAGAAGGCCTGGAAATTTACTAAACATTTGAGGATGATTTCTACAACAACAGACAAGCTACAATTACCTGGGACAATTGCTCCACAGTCGTGGCTCTTCAACCTGAGCTGTACACTAGAGTCACACAAAGAGTTTTTAAATGTTCCTGTCCAGGCCACACGGTAGACAAATGCCATTATATCTTGGGAGTGAGCGTTTTCTTTTTACATCCCCCAAGTGGTCCCAGAGAGAGACCAAGCTTGGGAGCCACTGCATAGAATATAAATCCATCGGGAATGCTGAAAAAACTGTGGCTTTATTTTTCATTTCTTGGGTACGCACCTGTATCTTAAAGCCGTTCATAAATGTTGATTTTTGTCAGTTGGTTTGGAAGCATTTTGCTTAACAATTTTATTGGGGTATATTTTACAAAAGAGTAGTACAAATATCACCATAAATTAATTTTAGAACATTTTATTCCCCCTAGTAAGAACCTTCAGGAGCATGGTTTATTTAACTATACTCAGTGGCATTATGATAAACCCCTCGGACGAGGGGTGATTTCTACAGTCTTGCTATTTCCCTGATATAAATACTTCTACCATGGGCAATTTCCAACTGCCAAGCATTTAACAACCTGCTTGTAAAATTCCTGAAACTTTAATAATGGACTTGAGAAAGTACTTACCCCTTCAGGACATCACACCTTTTATAAGTGATGATATCTGAGAAAACCTGAAAATGACCTGTTGCCCCAGGCAGGATTCTGAATACAAAAGAAACCTTTTCTTTAAAATTTTTTAAAATTTATTTCTGAGAGAGAGAGACAGTGAGCAGGGGAGGGTCAGAGAGAGAGGGAGACACAATCTGAAACAGGCTCCAGGCTCTGAGCTAGCTGTCAGCACAGAGCCTGACGCGGGGCTCGAACCCATGAACCGTGAAATCATGACCTGAGCCGAAGTCGGCCACCCAACCGACTGAGCCACCCAGGCTCCCCCAAAACTTTAAGTCACTGGTTAGGTATGATCTGTACCAAAACTTCTGGATAATTCAGTTTTTTAAAAGCTCTATAAAAACAAAATGATATCATGTAATTGATAGATAATAAGTGGCTGGTTTTAAAGACTTCATTTTAAAATTATTTTAGGTATACTATTTGAGTAGTTAGGCAGTATTTTTGGTAGCTATAAACAGATAATGTGGTGGTTAAAGAGATCTCCTACATCCTTGTTCTTTGGTGCCTATTTTTATTCAGGCTCTTGAATGTGTAAGTTCTGAAAATTAAAACCAAATTAAATCCCGAGCTGCAGCAAATCCATCCCTTACCTTTCTAGGACACACATGGCTTACGCAGAGCACAGGTTTATTCTTTCCTAAAGTACTTAAATGAAGCAACTCAGGTGCATTCCTATGTCTCACTTATAGAGTGTCAGTCTAAAACATTTATTTTCTTTACTCCTAAATGTATTCATGTGTCCAAACCAAAGGGGAAATAAAACCATCTGTGATTGTTGATCAGATTCACTTAACACTTTGGCGGTGTGGGCTTGGGGCAGGAGGTGGCCGGTGGGCAGGAAGGGAGGGGCGGGGGGTGTGGAGAATGGTCAGCAATAAGGAAGAGGTGCTGGGCACAGAATCAGGCTCTTTGAGCTCTCTAAATGAAGCGGGGCAGGGGGAGAGGAGAGGAATGAAACATGCAACGAATACTAGAGAAATCCCCGAAATCACAAACTGGTACAACATTGCTAGTTAGTTAATAATTTGGAGTTCCAGAAGCCCAGACTTTCTGTAGAGGACAACGTAGGAATAGTATATACTTTGTAAATGGGTAAGCCTTCATAAAGTGTGTAACTATAGACACAAAAGAGATACTAGAAAACAAAAATAGGACTTTTTAAATTAAATCTTCCAGTGATCTAGTCAGACAATATTCCTTCAAGTGAGAAATATGGTACCTTGTTCTCTTTTTATATACTTTCCCAAATCACAAATTTTAAGAGAAAGCGGCGGTGTGTAGCTGCGTTGGTAGAGTAAAAAAACTAGATTCTAAGTTCTGGTTATTTAAAAAAATAAAGAAGGTTCTAATTTCTCTGCCTCCGTACATGTTTAGAAGAGATCAGGGGTCAGCAAACTTTGCTTGTGAAGAGACAGATCATAAATTATTCAGGATTTGCAGGTTTTATGACCTCTGCCATGCCTGCTCACATCTGCCACTGTCATGCAGAGACAGCCGTAGATAACACGGAAACAAGTGACCGTGACTGCACAGTGTTCAAAAAATATTATTTATGGACACTGAAATTTGAATTTCATACTATTTTCATGAGTCAGAAAATATTTTTCTATTTTTTCCCCGAACATTTAAACTTGTAAAACCATTCTTGTCCCTCTGTCTGTACGAAAACATGTACCCTGGCAGGAAGTACAGAAGCGTACCCTGGCAGGATTTGGCCCTCAGGTGGTGGTTTGCTGACTCAGGGAACAGATGATAATAACCAAAATAAGCCCTCATTATGAGGCAGACATTTTGCAAACTGGCTCTGGTCTTCAGACGGTCTTGGCATTCTACGTTTCTATCCAAGGAGACTCACTGGCAGCAAAATCAGGTTGCCTGAGGTCCCAGAGTATCTGTTGTGATATTTGTTATTGACTGACCAGGTACTATGAGCCGGCACCGTACCACATATGGGCACTATTGCCATTGAGCTTTCCCAGTACCACTTTCAATGTGGTATGATGATACTCGTGTCATAGAGATGGAGAGAGTTCAGATAAGTTAGGTGGACGATCCAGGTCACAGACCTCATAGCGGTACAGCTGAGGGACACGGCCACGCGCTTACCCCAAAGCTGAAGCTGATCGAAGAAGCTGTATGTTCTAATCATGGCAGTTAGTAGTTATTGGAAGCTCGCCATGTGCTAGGTACTGTCTGTCCACCTGTCTGTCCACTAATGCAACTTCCTGATTTCTATGAAACTTTTCTCTTCTTACTGTATTAGCGCTATTTGTTAGTGCCCGATGAACTGAGAGACAAAAAGAAAGTTCCATGATTATTACCACCAGCAAATGTGATCACTAAAAGACGTTATTCTGGAGCGCCTGAGTGGCTCAGTCAGATGAGCGTCCAATTCTTGATTTCAGCTCAGGTCATATACCAGGGTCG